GCAGCAGACGAGGGGGGGCACAGACGAGCACATATACACGATCGGCTGGCTATAGAGCCGCCGATCGGGTATATGTTAAACAGCCGGTAACGGTTCTCTGCAGTGCACGGGTTTTTTCTGCCCGTGCGTGCGCTAGGGGGCGCGCGCGAGCAGAAAAAAAATGCCGTCTAGAGACGGCAACCCGCTAATGCAGCAGTGCCGTCCGTCCGTTTATTTTCAACGGGCGGACGGCAACTGGTTAATAGGCAAAAAAATTAAAAAATTTAATTATGCAGTCTGTCACTAGCATTAACACCACTGTTTTTGATTTTCTGAGTCCCCCTCTTTAACACAGTTTTATTACCTGTCAGGGTGACAACAATGTTTGTTCTGCAGTGAAATGACGCAGCAATGTTGTCACCCTGTAGACAGGGTAGTCTTGGATGGGCATGTAGTTTTAAATGGACTGTAAGTAAGCAACAAAACAAATGAAAGGATATCTTTTGGGAGAGTAAATTTTACTCTTCCCAATAGTTTGTGCTGGCGTGTGGCACTGCAGCTGTCACAGTCTGGCTCTATAGCTCAAGAACTAAGCAATCACAAACTGATGATCGCTCAGCTCACGGCTTCTCGCAGGGATTCCCCCGACAGGAGGGACAGACTGGGCAAGCGGTGGACACAGCTGGCTTTGGCTCTAGAGAGGCAGAACCAGCTGTCAATCAGGAAGCAGGGTGAAGCCTGACAATATTGTCGGGATCTTTCCCGCCTGTGGTGCGGCTCTGTGCTGTCAACATATAGCGACTCTGGGTCACAGGAGTATATTAGTAAATTTACTCCTATGACCCAAAAAAAAAGGCTTGGCTATAGTTCTTTTTTAAAGCCCAATTCCAGCTAACATTTTTAAGCAGCTAAAGGAACAGTTGCTTTTTTATTCATTTACTTAAAAGCTATATGAATAAAAAGCGACAGTTGCAAGAACTACGACAGTGTTAGATGGTTTTTCTCAACCCCTTTGACTGCCGCTTTTGCTGGACAACTGTTGCGCTACATGAGGAATCCCATTTTTTCCCATAGGGTCTTATGCGTTGTGCTGCCGTGTGACTTTTAAGGGGCTTTTTTTGGGTGCAACACAGTGCGTTATTATTATTACATAGTATTTATATAGCGCCAACAGTTTGCGCAGCGCTTTACAATATAAGGAAGACATTACAATCACAATACAATTCAAGACAAGATGGTAAGCATGGCCCTGCCCCTGAGAGCTTACAATCTAAAAGGGAGCGGCCAGTGATACATGAGCAGGTAGCTGTGTGGGGATGATTTGTTTGAGAACGTGATGGTTGAGTGGTTGGGTTGAGGCGGGATAGGCTTCCCTGAAGAGATGAGTGTTTAGGGAACGCCTAAAGGCAGTCAATGTGGGAGATAGACGGACAGGTTGGGGTAAAGAGTTCCAGAGGATGGGAGAGACTCTAGAGAAGTCCTGGAGGCGAGTATGGGAGGAGTTGACAAGGGAGCTGGAAAGCAGGAGGTCTAGGGAAGAGCGGAGTGGACGGTTAGGGTGATATTTTGAGGCAAGGTTTGAGATATATCCGGGGGCATAGTTGTGGATGGCTTTATAAGTGACTGTTAATATTTTGAATTTTATCCTCTGGGTGAATGGAAGCCAGTGCAGGGATTGACAGAGGGGGTTTGCAGACACTGAGCGGTTGGTCAGGTGGATGAGTCTAGCAGCTGCATTTATGATAGACTGAAGGGGGGATAGCCTGTGTAGTGGAATGCCAATGAGGAGGGTGTTGCAATAGTCAAGACGAGAGATAACAAGGGAGTGGATGAGTAGCTTTGTGGTTTCATTGGTGAGGAAGGGGCGTATTTTGGAGATGTTACGAAGGTGAAGGCGGCAAGATTTGGATAGTGATTGGATGTGGGGAAGAAAGGCGAGGTCCGCGTCAAGGATGACACCTAGGACCTTGGCTTGAGGGGAGGGCTGAATAGTTGTGTTATCAATCTCAACCGAAATGTTGGGGGAAGGTGCACGGGCGGGAGCGTTAGACTTAAATGAGAGCGCATGAAAAATGCATGCACATCTTTTCAAATGTTCACCTGCTACTAGACACAAATACTCTAGCCAGGCTGCATAGGAAGATGGAGCAAGCAGGCCACACTATGCTTCATGTGGAATAACTATTATGGCTGCTGATGTACCCTCCCAGTGACCACAATTACAAGGATTGCTGCCAGCTCCAGAGGGCCTGGGAGGACTTTTCCTGAGAGGTTTAAGCTGAATGGGTTGGTTACCCGGCCTCACTCCAAAAAGTAAGCTTATTTCTTCACTTTATTCTATTATCCTTTTGCTTATTTTTCCTTAGCTTTAGCAGATATTGCTTGTTATTGGCCAAAACAAAACACGCATGTATTATAAAATTATGAAAACAAATTTAAAAGTGTGTTATAATGCAATCTAAATGTGCATCAATGTGCATAAAAACGAGCATATATGTGCCAAATAATGCATCAATATGTAGATGCACAAGTGTGACGTAGGTATAAGCTGGCCATTCATTGTACGAATTTTGTCTGATTCTTGATGAACTGGACTAAATTTACGCAGTGGGTGGCTCTTTCACCTCCCTTCCATCTGGCATTCCCTGATCAAAAAGTCGAAGGAGCTGGATGGAAAATTTTCCGGCTAACAGTGACAACAGCCAATCAGCCATGACCATGCTGGCCACCATTTCTATGAGCTGACTAAACAACTATCTCACCTACGCTTATTGACTGAAAACATGTTTGATGCCATCACACAATGCAATGGAGCTTTATTGGCTTAACTGCATAATCTTTCTTTCTCAGTGTGATATCTAACGTGTAGGGGATTGGGTGAAGATAGTGTAATAAGGAGTTAGGTTATGTGCTAAGACATCAGAGACTGTTTTTAACTGGATTAAATAACAATTACTACAGCTCTCCTCATCTCCATCACACCACTTTCAACATGATGAGGGATGGGGATGCCCAAACATGTCTTCATCTTTGTATTTGCAAATGTACCTTTTTTCCAGTGAAATAAAAGCATATTGAGCAATTAAGGAGTGCCACACTTATTGGAACTGTATTGGATGGTGGAGTAAAATCTACTGGCGGTTGACACTTGTGGTCCTAGATATCTGGGAAACATGTGCAACCCAGCCAGGTTGCAGGTTGGGGATATATACTGTATATATACACTGTATAATATACAGTATACATTTAGAAGTGTATTTCCAGCGTTGTAGTCAAATTTGAGAATCCCCCTGCTATATTTGTTAAGTGTTCCCATTCCCATACCATTCCCGAAAAAAATCTTTGAAAAAATATTTCTTATCTTTCCAGTTGTTTCTTTGGAACAGGATTATATATGACACTACATGCAGATCCTATTGCAGGGCTGAACAAGAAAAATATTACGATGTATGGCCAGCTTAAGCCAATATGGCTCATATTTTAACTTTTTTTTATTGCCATGTTTTACTGAAGAGAACATCCTAAACACTGATGTTCTGACGTATTATATATTTTTGTTTATTGTTCTGTCTCCTGTAAAATATATGCAGCAGATTGCAGTGATTAGCTATTTTTGTATCCATGAAAGAAGTATTAAAAAGTCACAAGCAGGAGAACATTTGGCTGGTTTATCTCTAAACACCACCTGAGCATTGAAGGCTTATCTTCCTCCTTTCAAACAATGCTGGATGCTAATGAATGATAGCTACTAGCTTTTGCTCTAGCTTTGTTCTTATGGATGTTCAGCATTGTGAATTATATTGCATGTGATTTATTGATCTCTTTATGGCCTGGGCACAATACAGTGAAGCATGAGATGACAATAAGAGCAGTATTATCAGCTTTCTTTCTGTTAGGGATGAACCAGCACTTGTTGCAGACATCAGTTCACTGGTAGTCGTGGTCTATGCAGCATCATGTTGTATAGGAAGGTTCAGCTAACGTTTCTAGTTTTGTTGTTTCTTGCCATCCCTGGAGATTCAGCTCCTTGCTCCAAGTACCAAGTCTCCTACAACAACTCCTGCTATGAACTTGTCCGCCTCGAGCGTACTTTCCACAGTGCTCAGACCTGGTGTGAGAGAGGTGGGGGGCATCTGGTCTTCATTCACGATCAGGGGACTCAAGACTTTTTAGAACAACATCTCTCTGACGAGGCAGATTGGTGGATGGGGATTGTATACAACCTGCAACCTAAGAGTGATTCAGGTAAGCTGGTAAAACATATGTTACTTTTTTTTTTTAACCTGACAATCCAAGGTCTAACAGGTTCAGAAAACCACAAATCCTGCAGATCTTAAGATGCCGTAGCTACTAAAGCTGACCCTGCACTGGTAGATTTTGACACGAATGTTTATATGAAAAACATTGTCAGAATAGGATGATAAGTGTCATTCGAAATGTTGACATTCGATTTTGGAATGAAAAACACATTCTATGTTAGAATTTCGTTTGTTTAAGAAAAATGTTCCATCCTGCTCCTTCGATTTGTTTTCGTCGTTATGATCTAAAACAATTGTCAATTTGATCCCAAGGAGAATTAGAAAATTGAACAAATGTTCACAACACACATTTCTTAGAATAAAATTCTACTGGTGTATTGCCAGATAAAGGCCTCCAGTAGATACTGAATGGAGTACTGGTATCCAGTACTAGCTACAGCACAGGGAATCACCAGTGTTATTCTCAGTGTCTCTTACTAGGGTCCTCAACAGCTGATGCTTCAGGACAATAATATAAAGCCTGGAGTTTACTTCCATTTTATTGTGTATAATATAATTAATCACAAACTATTTTTGCATGCACCTTTTCATAATTTGAGCATCTTATAAATGTGTAAAAATTACATGACAAAAAAAAAGTTGTGTATGCTGTTGAACATCATTTTTTTGTGCATTAATAAGTCATCTACCACTTTCGAACAGGAATTTTGACCTGGCTGGATACATCTAATGTAAGCTATAATAACTGGGAAAGTAAGGAAGCCTCTGTTACTGCTGGGAAGTGTGGCTACTTAAAGAAACAGTCTGGCTATCAGTGGGCAACAACTGACAACTGCAGGCAGGAATTCTTTTTCATTTGTGAGTTTGGTAAGTTACTCTGCATACACATGTTGATCAGTCATTTTTGTAAAAAATAAAGAAAAAAAAGTGTTACTGTGTTAGTACGGCTAATTAAAATAATTTTGCATCATTTTTTCATGTAGAATAATAAGCAATTTGACTGCCAAAAGTGGAAAATAGTTTTCCCTGCAAGCTAAAATATAGATGTGAAAAGGGGGCACTTGGCAACTGTTTTTTTAAGATGGCTAGGTTTTGAAGGGTGTACTGTGTCCAATAGCCCAATATTCACTTCATCTTCATCTGGCTCTGGGCCGCATAGTGGTGACCTGACCTGAAATGTTATGGCTGCACTATCTGATTAATTTCAGTTTCTAATGTATTGACAGCGTGGGTTGAACAGAGCCTAAATCCCTTTCACAGTATATCCAGTGCTGTAAAGCACCTACAGCAAAGAGCTTTGCCTTGCATTGTGGGAAACTGTGTGACAGAAGCCCATTCATTTTAAATGAGCCCCAATGCAGGAGAAATCGCTCCTGTTTCTTGGTTTTTTTCCAGTTCACCGTAACACATAAGACCAGATAAACTAAGATTGGAAGTTGACGAGGAATGTTTATTGTTGCATGTGACATCTTATTTTGGAACATCACATGTCACTATGCATATAGTTTAGTTGGCTCATAGTAGAATTTGTAAGAGCTCATGCACACAGCACAAATGTAGGCAGTCTGGGTTTGGGATTGTTGGTTGTGTGTGTGTGTTTATGCATGTACAACACATTTTCCACTGTACAGTCACAGGCAGCCATGTGCATAAGCCCTAACAATCTGTCACCATAATTCCCTTGGCACCTTAGTACACACCTCTAATGTGCCAGATATTGACAGACATTTTCTTCAACTATTATTTATTTGGCAAAGATTGTGAGACTTTTTGTGTGGAAATACATCATACTTTAGAATTTCCTTACAGTTGGTGCATATTTCTTTTTCAAAACCTTTTAATTTAACTATTATTTGGCACATCCAGGAAAAGCAGGTTTCCATGCGTCCAATATTTGGTGCCCCGAAGACTAGTTTATCTGGCTCATGGTGTGTTGTGTGCTGTGGTGTACTGCAGCCAGGTGTGTTTTCTATATGCAATGGGATGCCATTCAAAATCAATAGCAAAGCACATAGTGTATATAATGCTTTGCAGCGTACACTTTACCAAATGGCATATGTGAATGGACCGTCAATGAAAAGCAGGAAATCATATTTGTTATTTTAGAGTTTGTACAGTAGAATGTGTCATGTGTATATAGTAATTTTTATAGTTGTGTAACCAACACAAAATGATTGTAACACTGATAGCATGGATGGAGGAATCTATCAGATTGTTTGTGTTTAGCCTCACAAGAAATAAAATCTATCTGTGTGTACCCAGTTTAAGTATGTTATTTTTCATCTTCCTTTAACAGACCAAGTTGTCCTGCAAAAGTGACAGATTGAGACAAACTGTTTAACACTGACAGGGGTGTTCACAATGGTCTTTTACTCATTTATGTTTGCCAAAAGGAAAAACAGAACTGTTGCTGTAACTGCTTAAAAAGTGTTAGCTGGTCCCCAAATCTATCTTTCACCAGCTGAGAACCGCCATCCTTAGATATGTATGGAATTGGAAGGGATACAGATTGAGATATGACATTTTAGTTGGTAGGAAGCAGGCAAAAAGTGTGAGTCTACTGCATTTAGAAATGTATTATCAGACTAGCCTCCCTACTCACATTTTGGATCGGTGTTATAAGGAACCCAATAAATTGTGGGTGACCCTGAAAAGAGACATGTCTCCGATGCACCTGTAAAACCTGCCGGTTCAGTTCCTTTTCAACAGGTGTTTTTATGAAATGTCAAATTGCATTATGTTTTGTGAAGCATTCTTTTATTTTTTTAATATACATTTCTAATTTATTTTACTTCTTCTAGAATCTGGCAATACCATAGCCTGCGATAACCAGAATGCAACAGTACAGTGTGGATCAGGAGAAGTGGTACAGATTACTGAGGGTTTCTATGGACGCCAGAGCCCCCATCTGTGTGCCCAGGAGACTGCCATCTCCTCTACAAGTGGATGCAGGTGGAGCAACGTGAAGGAGCAGGTTTCAGGTATAGTGCTGATCAAGGGCGTCCTTACACTTTTTCATGCCTGAGATCATGCTGGTAACAGGGCTGGTGCCGCATGTTACCAGGGAGCTATGGGGGTGCAATGTACCTTTTCGGCCAGAGCCTCACAGGTTGCTAAGCTCTTTGCAACCTGTGACGCTCTGGTTGGCATCCCGTCCAGCTCACTGAGGTCACTGCTTGCCAAGAGCCGGGCAGGACACCAGCCAGAATGTCCTTCTCAGCTCCTGGATACCAGTTACGTCAGTGAGCTGGGCGGGACGCTGGCTAGAGCGTCCCAGGTTGCTAAGAGCTCTTAGCAACCTGGGACGCTCTGGCCAGAAAGGGGGCAACAGGTGTGCGCTTGAGCCCTGGTGCTGATTCATGCATCATATTACAGAGATAGTATCATATACATATGATGTGCCTCAATACGTCAATGACAATCCTCTATGGCTTACATATTTTAGGGCTTACTTGCGGAAAAAAAGCAATATGTTATTTTTGGGAGCCGGTAAGTAAATCTATTTTACTCTGGTCCCCTAGACTTAAACAACACTTAACACTTGCAGTAGCCCCACTGAAAAGCTCCTTTTTTGTTTGCCTGTAGATTGGTTTTGAATCTAATTTTAACTAATAATATTTAAATGTGTTCATCTAAAGCAAATATGCTTTCATTTTCTCATATTGAAACTTTAAAATGCAAAAACAGTTTGTCTGACTCGCAAATATTTAAATATGACTGATGTTACTGATAAATTAAACATCTCTAGCTGTGAAGGTGATTCCATTGATTTAGAATGTTCTTTCTCTTAAGGTCAGTGTCAGGGGCTCCAGGCTTGTCAGATTGCCAACGAAGTTTCCCTCTTTGGTGAGCCATGTCCTGTGTCGGGAAGTTACCTGTCTATCAGATACAGCTGCATGGAAGGTAAGTGTCAAACTCCGATTTATAGTCTGTTCTCACTAAGCCATATTCAGAATTGCTGAAGTGCAACAAGATCAAACAGTGGACTGCTAAATATATGATGGAAACTCAGGAGTTAAAACTTAAAAATACATTCAAATACCTTAACTATTAACAATACTGTACCTTAGTTGTGCATTACACAGCTGTTCCTTCTGGGGGGTGGCTACTTTTGTTACCAATGGTCCTGTGTGTGTGTGCTGTAAAGTAGACATCGCTCCAAGCTTGCTCCACGGACTACAATCTCACATTTAGTTTACTAATTTGTATTGCGATTGTAGTCCATCACAGGTGGGAGCTTGGAGCGGTGGCTTCTTTACAACACACACAGGGACCATGGGGAACAACTGTAGCCACCCTCCAGAAGGAAGGACAGTGTCAGCACCAATTCAGAGATGATTTGAGAATCTACAGCCGATACACAAATGAAATACATTTTTGTTAGGGTATTTGAATTTATTTTTTAGATTTAACTCCTGAGTTTAGTATCACTTTAATGATAAACTCCAGTCAGTTTACTTTATTTTCCTCCAGATCCCATGCAGCCAGACTTAGTACCTCTGGCTGTGTCCTGCAATGGCAATCAGAACTGCAATCTTCCTTTACAGCATGTAATGTAATGCTTTCAAGAGACTGCAGTCAGGGCATATCAGGGGTGTGAATAATTTCATACTGTTTAATCTGAGTTGTATGACCTAGGGATGCACCGATATATTGGCCGCCGAAACATATCGGCCGAAAATGCATTCAGCCAAAAGTGCCATTTTCCTGCCGATACATGTATGACCTAGGAATGCACCGATATACTGGCCGCCGAAACATATCGGCCGAAAATGCATTCAGCCAAAAGTGCCATTTTCCTGCCGATACATCGGTGCATCCCAGGTTTTTTTCCTCCCTGCTGGGCGCTACTCTGTGTCCCAGCGGGGAGGAGAGAAACTGTGACAGCCGGCCGAGCACTGCGGGAGGAGAGCGCTGTGAGCGGCCAGCGTCTCTCCTCCCACACTGCTCAGCCTCCTATCACAGTCGGCAGAGCGGTGTGGGGGCGGGTGACAGCCCGCGCTGACACAGGAGGCTGAGCTCTCCTCCCTGCACCGCTCGCTCAGCCTCCTGTGACAGCGTGTCAGAGAGGAGAGCAAGCAGAAGCAGAAACACCGGCACTCCAAAGTGATAGGCAAACGTCTATTTATTGACGTGCAGCATAACAGGTATTGCAACAAACGTTTCGGGGTCGCAGAGGATCCCCTTCCACAGGCAAAAGCAAAGTATGTTTTTGCCTACCCGTTGACTACCGCAGCACCGCTTTTTAAAGGGATTTTGCGGTCAGGAGTGCGATGGGACCATGGACTCTCAGAGAGGAGAGCAAGGTACAAACACTCAGCGATCAGTGATAAATACAGAACAAATATGGACAAAACCACTTTACATATCTTTTAGGTGCCATATTTTTGCGCATATACTGTATATTTACCTGCCTATGGAAGAGCATGTGACCTCTTTCTACATATGTGACAGTTCTTGGATCTAGCAGTCAATCTTTGGCCCAAGCACTGTCACCAGACCAGGGGAGTGACACCACTGCTCCCCTTAGCATCCAGCTGAAGTGGAGACAGGAGCTGCCAGGGAGTGCTGGTAAAGTGAATATAACTAGGTTTAGTTAAATTATTTTGCATAGGTTTCTATTACAAAGACATTGTTATTTTCCAAGCATGGCAGTGTCTCTTTAGGTAAAGACTTTTAAATAAAGTTTGTTTTCTTCCCAGGTTTACAGCTTGATTTGCCAGATAAATGTCTGGTGTCTGAAAATGTCACAATCACTTTGAAATGGCTCCTAACACCTTTCACTGGTAATCTCTCCTGCATTATAAACACTGGAGATGGACACTCTATTGACCCCTACCAGCCTGAGAAGTAAGTGGACCATTATAGCAATCAGAATCAGTACAAGTGACATCGCTGAGTTCCTGTTACGTGCTCCTTATCATGTATAAACATTTTTATTCAATGCATTAGCTCTTTTGCAATGTGTTGCACTGGTCTTGTATGCCTCAAATACGTTTAACAGAATGCTCTGCTGTCATGTGACTTATGACTTATGACTACAACCACTATGTCGGGTTTTGTTACTGAAACACAAATAACCACAAACCCTTAACCTTTGTTCAAGTTTCACTGTGTTCAGTGTATATAATGGCTTAGGGCAGTCAGCAGAGAAATAAGTCTGAGTTTACTAAAAACCATTGCATATATAGAACTGACATATTATATAGCACGTGAAGGGCAATTGTCTATCATCCATTGGCCCATTTAATCAGGACTACATAAGTGCTACAAGTGATTATGGGAAAGACTTCAGAGAAATCTAGGATGGTTTTGTAAGCTTATTTGATGATCCTGTGATCCAGGTTGTAAATATTGTATTAAATCAGGGGTAGCAAACCTCCGGCCCTCCAACAGTGGTGAAACTACAAATCCCATGATGCATCTCTCACAGCCGTCATGTCTGTGGCTGTGAGAATCTTGCAATGCTTCATGGGATTTGTAGTTCCACCACAGCTGGAGGGCCGGAGGTTTGCTACCCCTGTATTAAATAGTCACTTTATTTCTGGTGTAGGAAATTAGAGTGTTACTAATTACCTTGCTTGTTATCTCTTACCTTGACTATTGAAACGCCTTCCTCATTGACTTACCTCTACAAAGACTATCCCTCCTTCAGTCTGTCATAAATGCGGCTGCCAGACTGATCCACCTCACCAACTGTTCAGAATCTGTCACTGCTCTCTACCAATTCCTTTACTGGCTTCTGATTGGCCAAAGAATACAATTAAAAAAAACTAACAATAATATACAAAGTCATCCACAGCTCTGCCCCCAGCTACATCACCAACCTCATCTTAAAATATCACCCAGACCGCCTTCTTTGCTCTTCCGAAGACCTGCTGCTCTTTAGCTCCCTTCTCCCATGCTTCAGTATCCACCACTCAGATCAACCTATAATTAGCAGAAAAACGGTATGTTGAATGAGATGCATAATACATACATGATACATAAAATACATAAATGTGACATGTATCAATGCAAACATTCATCTAGCTAGCTAGCTATAGACTAACAAAAAAGGAGCGGTATTTGTAGCACGAATTTGTAAACACTACATATGTGAAGACACAGTGTCATATCAAGGCACCTTTGAAAAGTGTGATCATACTTTTGCAAGACCCCAAACTGGAACATTGAGGGCCCATTCACACCACCTCCAGGCCAGACCAGATTGTTTCCGGACACAAAATGCATCCTAATGTATCCCTATGCTCTTCTTGGCCTCAGTTCAGACCATCGCAGTCAGTTCCAGACCAGACCAGAAAAATACTGCGTGTCACATTTTGTCTGGTCTGGAACGCACCGAAACGCACACGAACGCGTCACAACGCAACGAAATGCAACGCAATGGGGAAAAAAAACATTTTTTGGGGGCTGGTTTGGATGATCTCATCACCCCTGGACTTTTTTCTTTTGTGGAGAGAGAGAGATTTGTGAACCATGATGGCTAAAGTGGACACCAAATTATTTGTAGAACTTGTATTAGTAAACTAGGGTGGCAAAAATGCCCCTGCCCCTGCATAGTTGTGACAATGCACATTCACTGTACAGTACTGTAACTATGCAGGGGCATTTTTGCCACCCTAGTTTATTCTCTTTATTTGGGCTACACACATTACACCCTCTTCTTGTCTCCTTTACCTAGAGGGGGTATTTTATAGTTCACTGGACAAAACTAGGAAGGCTGATTAGGTACAAAAACACAAGATTTCTGGCAGGATCAACATATATTTTAGACTTTTTTTATTTATAAACCATTTATTGTTATTCCTCTGTATTGGAAGATACCAGAACCACCTCTGCTCTCACTTTGGCTGTCTGAAGTTAGTGAAATTACTTGTACAGTAATGGAGGAACTTACTTCAAATCGTCAGCACTGGGAGCAAAGGTTCTGCAAAATCTGGTTCTACTGGGTCAATTTCTCCTTCTCTAAGGAACACAACTCCCTTCTGGGAACTTGAGAGGGAGATTTCCATTGCTGGGTCATTTTCCCACTTGTGTCTTTCTCTGTTGCCATGGCCAGGATGTCCCCCACCTTTTTTTTTCTTCTTTTTTTCCTCTTCTTGTCTTCTCCTGAACTCAAGTGACACTCGACCTATCTTGGTTGATTCCCCTTGAGCCTGGCTTCCCGTTCTCCCTTTTACTGTTCCTCTGGTATCTTTCTTAGTCCAGAGCGCAACACTGGTGCAAGGACACGCAGACCCGGTTGTCTGATTTTCCTCCCTTCGAAAGTGTGAAGGTTCTGTCTTGATATTTACACTGTCTGGTCCAATGTTTGCTCTTTGCAGTAAATGTACGTTTGTATGTAGCCACTGTTGCCTTATACAACTACTTAATCTTCAGTTTTGGTGGGAAAAAAATGGAAAATGTACTATTTATGTATTGTACTACAATCTAGAATTAAATTTTTGCTCAACATTCTTGCAAAAAAATTAATCAATCTAACCTGTGTTTGTCGTTCAGTGTCTCTAGCAGTATAACACACAGTTACTCTTCCCCCGGAGACTTTGCTGTGTTTGTGGAATGTTCCACCAGTGAATGGCATGTGACAGCACAGGAAAACATTATAGTGGAAGAAGTTAGTGGAAGCCTTAGGGTCAGTGGATGTTTCAGCCAACACGAGTATCAAGATGGGGTTTGTTTGGCTGTATACAAGGAGCCCCTGTGGATCCAAATAGAGATAAATGCAGGTGAGAAATCAAACCCTTTGCATTCATATAACACATTCCTCATAACTGCAACTGATCATTTCCAGAATTCACTGCAGGTATAATGGTTCTCCGTGTTCTTTTAGAATAATAAAACTACAAATTTACATAATTAAATATTTGCAAATGTTTTAATTAACCATTTCACTGTTAATCTGCAGTTGCTGTAATTCTCTAAAACTGTCACAAATATTTAAAGAAGAACTCTTGGCAAATCCTTGCTGTGGGGCTACCCGCCCTCCCACGGCAAGGGTTAAGTGTTCGTTTTGGTAACGGGTCTAAAAAAAACCCAAAATATATACTTACCTCGGCATCTCACGTCCAATGCAAGTCAGTGGATTTGTATTAAACAAGAGGAGGTCAGCGGAGCTTAACAGCCAAGCAGAATTTAGGATCGGGTGAGTATGTCTTCTTTTATTTTAGACTCTATACCAAAACAAGCAATAAACTCTTGCAGTACAGGGGTAGCCACACTGCATCGGTTAATTTGTAATTTTCCTGGAGTTCTTATTTACTGCAATATGGCAACCTGGAGGCATTCTGTACACCACTGGTGTACTAAAGGCCCGCAGAAATGTAATTTCCTGCTTCTGTGATTGGCTTAGGCATCCCTTGAAATAAGAAATTAATTTTTGGTAGATCCTATCTAAAGCTCATCACACACATTACAATCTGTATATCTACCAACAACTGTGTAGTGCAAGGGGCTGCCTGATTGGATATAAATGGTTTGGATAGACTAGGTAGGTCCTTTATATTACAGTATATCGTTTTGGTAAATCTAAAGTTGATTGTACACAGATAGTGTAGTCAGATTGTAACGGTCGGTAAAAGACGTAAAAGACGGTCGCACGTCTTTTGTCTAAGGAGCATGTTAGAAAACCAGCCGAGAATCGTACGATTTTCGGCTGGTTAGAACGGTGCTCGGGAGACAAATACCGAACGGGCCGGTGTGCGCACGCGCACACTGCCCGTTCAGCATTGCGGTCATCGGAAGTCCGCCCCTCAGGGGGGCGGGCTTGCGATGATCGAGAGTGCGATCTGCCTGTCCAAGATGGGCAGATCGTACGTTTTTTTAATCACTTTACAACCATCGCAAGACTAAGGTCTTGCGATGGTTGTACAGTGTATGGCCACCTTTAATCAGCCACCCCATTCTTTGTAAAACAATCTGTGTGGGGACTTTTGTGGTTAGAGGAGTGGCCGTTAATTAGCTATTGCAGCATAAAGCTGAAGGGGATTCCTATAGGGATCAATGTAATGAAAGGAGGGAACGCTTCAGGGTTTTATAAATCATAGCCAGGAAACAGAGCAGGAATATCTTGCCTTTGCAGTCTCTTAAAAATATAATAAACCAGTGGGGTAATATAAGCATGCATACAAACCTGAAATATCATCTTTGGTTGGACAAACCCTAAGGTTTCAGATGACTTCACAAGACTAATATAGATGTTTACTGACAATTTTTTCCTTACCATTTCACCATTACAGGTACTGATATGAATGTCTCTCTGCTAGCAGATAACAGAACTTTAGCTGAGTCCAGGGTACGGACTGGAGACACTGCATACAATCTTACCCTGGACACAGCATCTCAGCAGCTTGTTGGTCCTGGTTTTCATCATCTGCAAATAGTGGCATCCAATGATCACACCTCTATCAGACTCAATACCAGCATCACTGTCCAGCTAATTGAAGCAGTATCTGGCTTGCAAGGTCAGTTGTCCACCACCAGACTGGAAGCAGGTAAAGAACTGCAGATTAATGCATCGGTGGCTCATGGAGCACCAGTGGAACTAAAGATTGAATTCAAAGGATCAAATGGAAACTTCAGCTACTCCAGAAAGAGCCCAACAGGACAGACACAGATCTCTAATATCTCTGTTGATGTGGAAGGTATGCACTTTTTTAGAATGTCTTGTACTGTCCAAACTTGGGCAGTGAGATTAATTTTGGGCATTTAACCTTTTCAGGCACCTGAAATAACCTTAATAATCTATGTTGACTATAGCTCTCATTTTTTCCTTTACATGTTTCCATATTGAATTAGAAAATTAGGGAAAAAACTGATTGGTTTCTAGAGACAATGAAGACAATTCTTATTTCAGACTCAATAATTAATGAGACCATTATGTGTTTGTCATGCTATTAAAATTGCCCTAAAGAAATCAAAGTGTTGGAAATAAACTGATAACTATCAAAACAAATCTAATGCTGCTAAAATATTGAGTAGATAATAAGCCTTAAAGCTGAAGTCTGGGCTGGAAAAAAAATTACTACTATCCTGCATTACCATGCACTGCATTCCCAAAAAAGATTTAGGTGCAGCTTTGCTTGTGATGGGGTATGCTTCGTTCAAATTGGAAGAGCTGACTTTACACAATGCAAGTTATTACGCTTGGATTTCTGCACTAGAACCATGTGAAAATATCCTAAAACAAACCATTTCTGATAACTTGTTTAACTCAGTTTTTTTAACGGTTTAGAAACAATTGCTGTATTTACATTAGATGCAATCTGCCAAGATTCTTCTTCCATATAAATAGGTGAGATTTCAGTGCATCTGTTAACTTTGAAGATTATTTCTCAACAATGTCTACAGCTATAGAGGTGTATGAGGACTTGTTTTAAAGTGCGTTAAATGCTTGTTCAGAATATGTTAATACTTGAATGTGTATAGCTCGGGCACAAGTTCACTGTAAAGATGGCCATATACACAAGAAGGGGTTTTATCTAATTTATCCATGAAATGATCTTCATAATGCCCAGGAACCCAAATGTGTGGCTAAGCACTGAACAGCTACACCCGGGGGCACCAATAATCTGACAGGGAAATCCTGGATGACTGGTTTGTTCTCCCACAATACAAAATCAGCTGGATCAGGCGACAAACCATATACATTTAGTGGAAAACTTTTAAGGCTCAATTTATGTATTATGCTTCAGCAAAATAAGCAAGTGTGCTAGGCCCTAAAGCCAAACTACAGTTAACGCCTTTTTATTTTTTTTATTTTTTGATACAGTATGACAATGAGCTATAAAACCTCAGTAGTGTTCAGAAGAGTTAGAAATGGTCATATTTTCATTATTTTTTATGTTGCCTTTAGGGGGATCTCTGTTCTGTTCTGACACGAAGTGATGAAACATTTAGAGTCTCTGACATCAATTAAACCTGACAGAAGTTCTAACCTTTTGATGCTCTGTCCAAAACTAAATAAAAAGTTGTGACTGACATTAAGCTTTACCAGTGCTCAATGGAGACTTGGTAGTTTACTTTTCAGTGCATACACATGTCCCCATAATGCGGCATCTCATTGGGGGGGATAAGCAGATGTATTAGGGGGTGACGGCATGGTCGACTAACAGCACCCTGAATAAGGTAGGTTAATAAGGTAAGGGTGTACTCCTGTTCTGTCATAAAGACACCACCATAGGCTAACCCATGCACCATTATTTACACTATGTTAATTAGAGAATGATTACATGGTTATTTTATGTATTGTTTGCCATTACAGGTACATATATGGTTACAATCATAGCTGCAAATTCAGTTTCTAATGCAAGTTTGGACATTGGACACATTACTATAATATCCAGCTCTACTCAACATCAAGGTAATAAGCACATTTAAAACTCTATTTGGATAATAAAGTAATAATATCTATTTGGCAAAAGTTAATGATACGTAAATAATTATGTATTTACATATTTAAGTATGCAGTATATTCAATCTATATTACATACAACCATTGCTGCCACTAGGAAAATCAGCTCGCAGCCACTACTGTCTCAGTCCTCCGGCTCTGCAGCTTTGCCCAGCTTTCAATACTTGACACATGCACACATGGAGTTTACAAATGGAGATGAGACCCAGGAGGAGGTGTTATTGAAGATGCATGTAACAGCAATCAAAAGTGCTTTAAGGCAGGTGCGTTCTTCAGTACAACCGCCCGGCTCTCATATCCACTCTAAATAGACTATATCTGTGCAGAAGAATTATGAATTTAAAGAGGAACTTTACCCACCAATTTAATATCTCCCAAAGCAGCGCATTTCACAGCATGCTAACTGTCAAGGTTGCCAATGAGCTTATTTCAGCTCTCAAACAGACTTTAAAGTCCTCAAATGGCTGGTGTCGTAGCTGATCAAATGTGGAGCACCATGGCAACTGCAATCCAAATCCAAATAGTGTCCTTGATCTTGATGGATAGGAGGTTTCAGTTCCGCTTTAATCTAACCTAATATTCATTCTTTTTGTTTTCAGGAACTCAAGACAAACAGAGAGGAAAAGGTCAAGAGGTCAAGGTCAGCATTTTCATCTATGATCCAGCCTCATCTTACATTTTAACTCAGATCAAAAGTTTATTTTTCAGTTTTGGGTTGGCTTTTATATCTCAGTCTAGTTTTAAACAACAACAAAGCCTGAAAGGGCATATAACTCGTCCGTATGCTACTAAATATGTACTTTTATTGCTGTCATAGAGACGACTAAGAATAAGCCCAAGATTGGGTGAAACATTTTAGAGGGAGCAGACCTCAGGCACTGACGAATTTTTAATAAATTGATTCAGCGTGGAACGGAGTGCAGCCAGATTCTTCCTTTACTATATCATAATACTGTTATTATAATCCTTCTTACAATCTCTTACAGGATATCATTACAAAGAAATGGAAAATACAGATAGAGCCCCGCAGACATGTCAACCCATTTTCCAATATTAGTTTGCAAATACAGAGCAACATTACTGATAATATCACCTGGTCATGTGGTAAGTGTTTTTCACTGGCTGTATCACTGAGAAATGGACTAAATGTGGCAAGATACTTGACAAGAACCCCAGATTGACTCCATTTCCTTGAACCTGCAGGATCTTGCTGGCTGGAATGGTTTGCATGTGTAAAACAGAATATAATTGACCTCACCTCAAATAAGATTGTGATTCCTGCTGCCTGCTTGCCACCTGCTAATGCTGCATTCACTGTCCAAGCTGCTGCAGTTCTCAGTGATGGGGAGACAATGGTGGATGAACAATGCTTCTATGTGACGTCTAGGAACCAGCTCCAACCCAGAATCAGGTCAATATACAAAACTACTATAGCCTATTATAAACATGTTATTTATTAATGTATTTTACCTCTAAAGCTAGCCATACACTGTTAGATTGTCATGAATTAGTGGATTAGCCAAAATTCAAGCTTCCATAAACCTCCCTGACGGTATTCCCGGGTTCCGTCGCTTGCTAGTGTATCAGCGTCGCAGGGGGGCGGACCCGGCGGGATATGAAAAAAAAACCCGACAAAGACGAAAAAAATTTGAAAAATAAATAGACTGAAAAATGACATGTAAAAAATTAAAAATCATACCGCCAGGGAGGTTAAGAAAGGAAAGAAACCGGGCAGAAAATTGTCAGCCAAGCAATGACTGCAGCCAGTCACCTGCAGTAAGCCTAGGTTCACATCTTTGCAAAACATGCGCTTCAAAGTGCATTTACACAACAAGTGAAAAACATGCAACGCACTTGTGCTGCTATTATTTGTTAATGGCACACTAAACGCAGCCAGTAAAACATGTTTTTTCCTGCATGTGTCACTATGTGTGTTTTCGGCACTATATTACCCTGATGAAGGGACCCTGCGTGGCCCCGAAATGTTGTTTTTTGCACGTGACACACCTTTTTAAATACCTTTTTAAATACAAACATAAAATTTACAAGTATTTACAAGATTATCCTGCACCTGGACGCGCATCAAGCATGTGCAGATGCACAGAATAAAATTTAGCATGCTTACAGCTAAACTACTTTGTGTTTGCCGTACCATGGGGCAACCCATTCATTAATTGGGCTGATGCGCAACAACCATGCCAAACACACGCGAACGCACGCAAACACATGTTTGCTTGCATTCCTGCAGCGTAAAGTGTAAACGGGGTATTTTCAGGTATTTCAGGTATTCAGACAGGGGCAGGAGGCTGCAGGGGAGATTCTTCCTTCCACTTTGTCTAGCGTGGATGGGGGAATTGAGCGGGCTTGTACAGGGGTTTTACTGGACTATGTATAGGAAACCTTCGGTAGAAATGTATAGACATTCAGAAGTTTCCAATTGTACCTTCAAACAAAAACTATGGATCCCAATCAGTATTATTTTCTCCTAATTTATGTATCAAACACACACTGGAGCTGACATTGGAATGATGATATCATCAATAACTGAAAGCGCTCAGGTCTGAGTTCTGAATCCAAAAAGGAAAGCAATAGCTGGAACTTGCATTTTTTGTGAATTCCATTTCAGAGCGATAGCAATACAGGGAGTCCCCGGGTTACATACATCCGACTTACATACAGGCCCGGATTCCCCACAAGGCCCCCGAGGCCCGGCCTCGGGGCGGCAGGGCGCAGAGGGGCGGCAGCGGTGTCCTTGTGGGGAAGTTGCCCTCTCTACATTCAGTCCTGCTTTGCACAAGCAGGACT